TCCTGGCACATAAATGAAACTAATTCCTTTCAGCTTCATTATATGTTGCTATAACTCTGTAGTAATGAACCTGACAAGATACAGCAATAAACTGTAAATTCTATTGTTTGTGCCCACATCATTTAAATTTACAACAGGAAAACACTGCGCTGAATATTTTTTTTTAAGTGTTGATAATGAAGTTATGTGCATGTGACATTCTTATATTTTTCTTTAACACTCTGTATTACCCCCATTATAAATGGTGGTGGCCAAGATTTTGTCTCAAGAGAAAGCCAGATTAGAAATGTTGAGGAAATACTGATATGAATATATGTGTGTTTGTGTGTGCGCGTGCGTGCATTGATGTTGCCATGAACAAGATGATGTCAGTTAACTGATGCAGCTGTGAAGATGTGATGAATAAAGAAATGACTTTAACTGTATGTGCTTTTGTACACTCATGTGTCAGGAGGTTGCTCCACATTCTAAGCAAATTTTGTTACTTTATCTAAATGTGTAGTCCCATCTTACTTCATTTCTCCTTCTCCGGTAATCACCTGTACTTGGATAGAATGGGGGGGGGGGGGTGCAGGCTCTGGGTGCTAATCAAGACTCAGGGAAAAGGCAAGACGGACATATAACCAGACTACGACCGGCACCATTAGTACTGGAACTCTGCACTAGCTGCTAAAGATGGGGACGGAGCACAAATGGTAATGCTCTGAGTGCTGTGATATCAATTCTTGACTCAACTCAACTGTTACTTTATATGTGTGGTCCCATCTTAGTTCATTTCTCCTTCTCCCGTAACTACCTGTACCTGGATAGAATGTTGTGGGGGAGGGCCTGCGGGCTCTGGGCGCTAATCAAGACTTGGGGGGGGGGGGGGGGAGGCAAGACGAGTAGTTAACTAGATGAGGCAAGACAAGTAGTTAACTAGATGAGGCAAGACGAGTAGTTAACTAGATGAGGCAAGACAAGTAGTTAACTAGATAAGGCAAGACAAGTAGTTAACTAGATGAGGCAAGATGAGTAGTTAACTAGATGAGGCAAGACGAGTAGTTAACTAGATGAGGCAAGACGAGTAGTTAACTAGATGAGGCAAGACGAGTAGTTAACTAGATGAGGCAAGATGAGTAGTTAACTAGATGAGGCAAGACGAGTAGTTAACTAGATGAGGCAAGACGAGTAGTTAACTAGATGAGGCAAGACGAGTAGTTAACTAGATGAGGCAAGACGAGTAGTTAACTAGATGAGGCAAGACGAGTAGTTAACTAGATGAGGCAAGACGAGTAGTTAACTAGATGACGCAAGACGAGTAGTTAACTAGATGAGGCAAGATGAGTAGTTAACTAGATGAGGCAAGACGAGTAGTTAACTAGATGAGGCAAGATGAGTAGTTAACTAGATGAGGCAAGACGAGTAGTTAACTAGATGAGGCAAGATGAGTAGTTAACTAGATGAGGCAAGACGAGTAGTTAACTAGATGAGGCAAGACAAGTAGTTAACTAGATAAGGCAAGACGAGTAGTTAACTAGATGAGGCAAGACAAGTAGTTAACTAGATGAGGCAAGACGAGTAGTTAACTAGATGAGGCAAGACGAGTAGTTAACTAGATGAGGCAAGACGAGTAGTTAACTAGATGAGGCAAGACGAGTAGTTAACTAGATGAGGCAAGACGAGTAGTTAACTAGATGAGGCAAGACGAGTAGTTAACTAGATGAGGCAAGACGAGTAGTTAACTAGATGAGGCAAGACGAGTAGTTAACTAGATGAGGCAAGACGAGTAGTTAACTAGATGAGGCAAGACGAGTAGTTAACTAGATGACAATGGGCACTATCAGTATGGAACCTCTTCGCTGGCTGCTGAAGAGGGAGACAGAGCTAATATGGGCTTGTCCTGAATGCTGTGATGTCGAATCTTTACCCAGATGAACCTTAACCTACTTTTCTCTCTGTGTGTGTGTGTGACAGGAGATGGTTTGTGCTTGCTTCCTGGTGAACTTGTCAAGCTTGGGATGGGTCCAAGCTTTGGGTACTGTTTATCTACCACCAAGAATGCAGAGGCGATGCACCAGGGTTACACCTTGTCACGGTTCCCAAAGCGTGGCCTGGTCAACTCTGATAGGATCTACGTTTTTAAGTCAGAGTGCATCTGCCTGAGAAGTAATAAATCTGCAGTTTGTATATAAATAAGCCAGATCTGTAAAACAGATGTGCACGCAACAGTGAAGTCTTGGAACAAGACCACAGACCAGATGGGGTTGAACAATCAACGACTTTCCGCGGAAGTTTACAACCGGTGAACACAAAGATGCTACTTGACCAAAATGTTTGGTTTCATCTAAATTCATTTCTCTGTCCCCCCACCCCCTTTTCTCTGTGTGTGTGAGCGAGAGAAAGATGGTTTGTGTGTGCTTGCTAGTTTCTTATTGTGAGCTCCCCAAGCAGTGGACAGGTGCAAGATTTGGCAATTGTTTGTTTGTCTGCCAACAGGGAATTACTGTGGCTCTCTTGCACAATGTGTGGTCCTTCATGTCTGTCTGCCAACAGGGAATTACTGTGGCTCTCTTGCACAATGTGTGGTCCTTCATGTCTGTCTGCCAACAGGGAATTACAGTGGCTCTCTTGCACAATGTGTGGTCTTTCATGTCTGTCTGCCAACAGGGAATTACTATGGCTCTCTTGCACAATGTGTGGTCTTTCATGTCTGTCTGCCAACAGGGAATTACTGTGGCTCTCTTGCACAATGTGAGGTCTTTCATGTCTGTCTGCCAACAGGGAATTACTGTGGCTCTCTTGCACAATGTGTGGTCTTTCATGTCTGTCTGCCAACAGGGAATTACTGTGGCTCTCTTGCATAATGTGTGGTCTTTCATGTCTATCTGCCAACAGGGAATTACAATGGCTCTCTTGCACAATGTGTGGTCCTTCATGTCTGTCTGCCAACAGGGAATTACTGTGGCTCTCTTGCACAATGTGTGGTCTTTCATGTCTGTCTGCCAACAGGGAATTACTGTGGCTCTCTTGCACAATGTGTGGTCTTTCATGTCTGTCTGCCAACAGGGAATTACTGTGGCTCTCTTGCACAATGTGTGGTCCTTCATGTCTGTCTGCCCACAGGGAATTACTGTGGCTCTCTTGCACAATGTGTGGCCCTTCATCACAGAGAGAACCATGGTGGATTTCTCTTTCATTAGCAAGACTTTTGTAAACAAATAAAACTGATTTAACTGCAGTAAAGTTTTATAAACGTAAACAATATGAAATTACAAAGTGCATGTCAGTACTAATAATTACAAAAATAGAAGATTGCTTTGGTAACAGATCTTAATCAGCAAACAATAATGAGACACGAAGCTGAACACAATACAAAACTAGAAAACAGTAAAGTACCTAAAAAAAAGCAGGCAAATATGTAATCATGTAATCACAGTTCCAATTTTATAGCAAAGGGGTCACGCCACAGTTGCTCTGTCCTGGTGTCAATGAAAGGTACACAAAATGTCCATCACTGTTGTTAGTGAAAAAAACTGACATAGACAACAGTCTTAGCAATCCAACAGCATACACACACACTAAATGCATAAAGCAGCAGTCATAAGTGCCAACACACACAGTACAACACTAGAAACACAGCTAACACAAACAATCGAAAACTGCAAATGCAGTTCATCATCGACGGAAACAGAAGTTACAACAGATCAGTAGTTGCACATGCAATTAATCACATAAGGCACCACAAATTCTCTGGCAACAGGCCACCAGCCATTTTCTGAATCTGTAGTTTAACACACAAACCACATCGGGCACAGTTGAAAAGCATTCCAAAATATTATATAACAATGTGAAAAGTACCACATATTTAATCTACCTGCTTATTTCCACAAGTGAAGTAGCCATTCTAGTGTCGCAGAGGTTGCCCCAGCATCAACTCCTGTACTGGAGGTTTTCAAAGATAATGAATTAAATACAAGGAACTGTGGTAGTGTAGTGGCTAGGCACTAGTCTGCTGGCCCAGAGGTCTTGGGTTCCAATCCTCATCAAGGCAGATTTATCTTTTCAAAACTGACCTAGCTTCCAGAGTAGCCCTAAAATGAATACCAGGCAATGTTCTGGGAAGTAAAGGTGGTGAGACTGATACTGACCACATCACTCCCCAAGTGCTGACTAATCTATAAAAATGATCCCAGCACTGTACGCCTGATAAGCCAATGGCACACAAAAAAAGGTACTTAAAACAACTGAATGCAGAAAATGTAGGAATGTGAAAGATAATGGGCTTAACACGTACAGATTTATATGGTACAAGTAATCAGCTTTCTTCCCTTCAGTGTTTTTACCTTTATTCTGTTGGGTTATGTATGTTAAGTCACCAACCTCCTCATACAAAAACAGACCGTTATATTTCAACTGCAAATTGGACACAACAGACTCCACAGTAGTCATCATCACCATGAGAGGCCATGCTGACTGGCGCGGGCGATCGTGCCTCTCCACAATCTGCAATCTTTAACACCATGTATCAGTATGTATGGTGACACCCCTGCATGCCATGACAGAAGGTTTTAAACAATCTTCTTGCAAAGTCTTCCTCTGTCTCTCTTTCCTGATCTTTCCAGCGGTCACAAGATGTTTCCTTCTTCTCATAACATGGCCAAGAAATGACTGTGATGTTTGTGACATGTTGTCTTCAAATCTTCTGCAGTCAAGTGTACAAGAAAATCTATAGTGAAGACTAGACTTCACCCATGTGGACTGGCACCACAAAATAAGTGAACATATGCTGTTGGTATGCTCTCTATATGTAGTATACAGATCCCAGGTCTGGTCAGCTAGCATTCCAACAGCACGATGTGTCTTTGGTCAAGGCGACCAAAAGAGCACAAGGTAGAACCTTATACCTCCTCAAAACCCGAAGTGGTAAAAGAAGAAGTGAAGAAAAAGAAGACTAAATTTAAACTGAGGAGGAAGAAAGACACAAAGTATGATGAGGCAAAGAGGATAAGAAAATATAACTACTGCATGAATGTTAATTTTGGTGTTCGAAGAAGAGCCTCTTCTTCAGGAGAGAGTAGATATGACGCCATCTCCGCCTCGTCAAATTCTGAAGCCAACACAACAGGACTGTCCAAATTAACCATTGGAGAAATTTTTGTCTCTGGCCGAAAAACTTCTTGTCTAGGTTTTTTTAATGCAGACGGAAGAAGAACATCTTTATTTACTGCAGTGCCATGTCTGGCATTTTTGCATCGCTTTTTCCGTTTTGGTGTTGTGTCAAGTTCATTTTCAGTTTCTGGAATAGTGAGATCTACGTTGCTGCTGACCTCACCATCTGACCTGAAAGCCAGTTGAAGAAGACTATTTTGATATTGAAGGATGTCATCAACATATTTATAGACAGTCGTCGGTTTGATGTGCTTGGCCACCACCCACGGAATGCTCCTGGCCAGTTTAAGAAACAAGCTACTGCACTCACTCTGAAGCAGCATTGATATGTTTGGAAACTTAAACATCTGTCGGAATTTTGTCATACTGACAAAACTCATAGAGCTAATAAACGCGTAATATGCTGCGATTATGATAAGCCCTTGCCTTGACCTTCCTTGTGTCAGCCATGCCTTCCGGCATAAAAACAGAATATCCTTCACCTTGGAAATAATGGCGCGGTTGAATGCACAATTGGCAAGTACCAGCTCAACCTGACTGCACATGGTAATACTCGGGTGGTTTATGTTCAAGGTTTTCATGACAATTTTCCGTCCTTTCAGAAAGATTTTGTATTTTTCAACATACTTGCGGAAGTGCTGAAGACTAACTGGCATGTCATGCTGCCGACATACAATAAAAACACAGGCGGCTGCGATGTGTTCTTTTGTTGTTATGTGTGTGAAATATACTCCTGGTTTTTCAAAAACTGTGTTAAACATTTCTAAAGCTTCATCTCTAATTATTTCTGGAAAGCACAGCTTATTATAAATAAAGGTTATTTTGTCATGACCTGCTGCTCTGCCTTTCAAGATCGTGGTAGGGCGAGAATGCTTTGGAAGAGTCATGAAACTATTCCTATATGTCCTCGACGTGACTTCAAAATCGTCATTTGTCAATGCTTCATTTTCGGCAACAGTTCCGCAGTCTCTGCAAACAAGCCGTTCATCAGCCCCACAAACATCCATGCCAAGGTTGCTGCTGTGGCAAGAGTTACAAGTCTTCAATGAGGAACTTGGTTGTGAGACCTGCTGTTTGTCTGACTGTGTACTCGCCAGCCTCTCCACATCATCTGCAACTCCCGACTCCAGCTCCTGACATTCGGCACACAAGTTCACCCCTGAATGAAAGCTCAGCTGCAAGAAATCCCCACAAGACTCGCATGCCTGCTCCTCCTTCTTCACATTCAAGAAGGGAACACATTCTATTTTCACAGTGTTTGAGTGTAACGCCTGCAAAAACAAAACATTTGACATATATTAGTGAATTAATTACATTTGGTTTGGATAAAATTATTCTTGCCATAAGATTCCCTACCAGTATAGTTAAGGCTTGTTTTTCTTGTCTGGCGGTACGCAACAGTACGCAGTATTGGCACCTTTCTGTTAGACAGCATTTTTGTCGGCACAACTGTAACAGACACTGTGTGGGGAGTACTAGCGTCTTCTGTAGACACCTTACGGTGAGCACTGACCGGCACCTTATGTTTCCAGGGAAAAAGCCCTGAGTAAAGTTGAGTTCTTGAGATGCTTTTGCCTTGACTACAAGCAGTCTAACTATGAAGTAGATGGAAGTAACTAAAGCAATGAACTGGCTAGAAACCGGATTTTTCTCATGCTTGCTAATTTAGGCATGTGAAAATGGCAGTCTGCGGCCACATGCAGATCTTTACAAACACACCTGTGACCTGCACAAAGGAAATATTCTGCAATAACTTTTATTAAATAACTTTAATCAGTTAGCTTGTGAGGTCCTCATGATGAGAAAAATGTGACCCATATGGCCCTTACGGGACCCTAGTGTGACATGCCTGATCTAACTTATTCTATGAACATGCTTAAGAAGATTGTGACAGAAAGGGCTTGAAGACAGTGGTTGAAGTCTTTGAGAAAATCTCGCCTGACTGAAATCAGTTTCATTTCTGTGTCAGGACACTCTGGGGTAAGAGGGAAGTAACGAGCAGATTGGTTTGCTGGCAGGGCTCCAACAGGCACCGGAAAAAGCAATGGACTGATCCGATGTTCTCAAAGAGGTAGGATAGCAGATGATTCAGGAGAAAAGTGTGAATTGGCAATCTTGACAAGACTACAAGAATTTCCTGTTAAAAGAGATGTTTCCAGACATTAACATTATACAGGTAGACAAAGAAGAATGGTAAACCAACATAGAACTGGTGATATCAGTAGAAACATACTGAAGATGGGATCTGAGTGTTTATAGAATTGTCCGATGAGCAATAAGGATGATCAGTCAATTAACTAGTTCCAATATGAGGCATAAAATGTACGTTTGAAGACTTACAATCTCAGGTCTCACTCCTGAAGCAACTGTTCCACATTCGACACAGATTCTCTGCACACGACCACCGTCGACCTCCTCCTCTATGACTGCACATTCTCCACATGATAAACATTTCTCTGGCATCCTGGGGACACAGAGAGCAACGGCAAACATAAAGGTATCCTCCTCCTTCTATTCCCAGATGTGTTCACAAAGTTAATGACGACCACATCTGGGAATCACTGATGTCATGGCATTTCCAAAAGATGCATGACAAACAAGGATCTGAACTAATGCTAATGTCAACAACTGGTTATAATTTCAACTATTTAAACTGAACTTCTTCTTTCTTCTTCTTCTATATTCAGCATCACAATGGTGTTTGGCTTGCTGTTTTGTTGTTTATAGCTGGGCTGCAAAATCTATGCCTTTCAGCCCAACACATCTAATTAATCACATTTTAAGATCTGTTTCTTAAATGGGGATGGGTCCCCCCCCCCCCCCACCACCTTCCCAACCAACTGGGGCCCTAGGACCCAGACAGGAATTTTAATGAATGGACTTAATACCATTTTCTGGAACAAAATTGAATGGTTTAAAATTTGGAACTTTAGAACTTTATGTCAACTTCACATTTTCTGGTCACCTTTGCCCAAAATGTGTGTCAAGCTGATCAAGTTATCAGTCGTTCTACTTCATGACAAATGGGTCACCTCACATATCAGTCGTTCTACTTCATGACAAATGGGTCACCTCACATATCAGTCGTTCTACTTCATGACAAATCGGTCACCTCACATCAGTCGTTCTACTTCATGACAAATCGGTCACCTCATATATCAATCGTTCTACTTCATGACAAATCGGTCACCTCATATATCAGTCGTTCTACTTCATGACAAATCGGTCATCTCACATATCAGTCGTTCCACTTCATGACAAATCGGTCACCTCACATATCAGTCGTTCTACTTCATGACAAATCAGTCACTCATATATCAGTCGTTCTACTTCATGACAAATCAGTCACCTCATATATCAGTCGTTCTAATTCATGACAAATCAGTCACCTCATATATCAGTCATTCTACTTCATGACAAATGGGTCACCTCATATATCAGTCGTTCTACTTCATGACAAATGGGTCACCTCATATATCAATCGCTGTTCTACTTCATGACAAATGGGTCACCTCATATATCAGTCGTTCTACTTCATGACAAATGGGTCACCTCATATATCAGTCATTCTACTTCATGACAAATGGGTCACCTCATATATCAATCGCTGTTCTACTTCATGACAAATGGGTCACCTCATATATCAGTCGTTCTACTTCATGACAAATGGGTCACCTCATATATCAGTCATTCTACTTCATGATAAATGGGTCACCTCATATATCAATCGCTGTTCTACTTCATGACAAATGGGTCACCTCATAATTACTCCACTGCTGGGCCAGTGAAAACGACACAAAATGTCGATCACTGCCCCATGTGAAAAGTCCAAAAGTAGTCCTGGCAAAATCCAACAGCTTGCATATATTAAATGCACAAGGTAGTCACCAGAGGTTCCCAGCCCGACACTAGAATTGCAGTTCGTAATTGATGGAATCAGCAGATATTCTTATCTAAATAAATGTGCCTTATATGATGTGAGTTTGAACTCTGAAAATGCAGGAGTCAAAACAGCACCTCTATCCCTCCCCTCTCTGTTGACTGAGCAAAAGTGAGTGTGTGATTGTGTCACTGAGATTCTCATAACACACAAAGTTTTGCAACATATAGATGATTTACTGAGATTCCCACTACACACAGTGTTGCAAAATATGGGCGATTCACAGAGATTCTTATAATACACAGCACCACAACACATAGAGAGATAAGACATTAATTCCCCTCCAATATTAGGGTGACAGTAACCTCCCCTTTGTTAACATGCCAAGACGCAAAGAATAATAGGTCTTTTATCTACAGTTGAATAAATATGAACCACTACAGGTTTTTTTTTAAATTATCTTTTCTTCTATTTCCAGTAGGAGCTGAAGTGTATTCATGAGGTCATAAAGGCAGGATGTAATAAAATGTATCTATATAAACAAATACTGAAAAGAAAAAAAAGCTATGCAGAACACAATAACAGAAGCCTGTTATACAAAATACCTGAGAAGCATCAACAAAACAAAACTGAAGAATCAAGCCAGAAAACTTAATAATAAACAAATACCAATTGCAAAAATTCAGAGGATCCTATGGGTTAGAGAAGTCTATTGTTATAATAATAATAATCTCTTTTCTCCTGCTTCTCACCTCTTAATGGTTAAATGTCTATGCTCTGTTAGGAGACTTTTTTTTCCAGCTGCGTAAAAATAAGAAATTGACAAGTATGAGAAGAACTGCCATTTGATAATATAAAATCAACAAGAAAAGAAATACAGATATTACGGTACTGACTACAGACAAAGACATGGTTGAAAAGTTTATTGGGTGCCGCTACAAGCAGAAATGTTTTGAATAAAAGTGTGACCAGACAGTAAACTACACAGACAGCCCTGCCACTTAGACATAATGGAAGCAAAGTCAGAGGTCAACCATGCAAGCGATGGATAGAGGGAATATCCTAGGTTGTAAATACCACATGAAAATCAATATAGAACTAGAAATGAACAAGAAGTGTAAGAATAGAAATTATGATCATATATGGGGGAGGAGGGGGAGGCATACGGTAACATATCCATGAACAAGGGCAAATTGGTTACCTAAGACGGGTAACAGGTCACTGAGTAACTGAACCCACAAGAATGATAAAAGAGGCGAACTTTGTGAGATAAATCAAGAGAAAGGAAATAAGTTGCATACCAGGGGGAAGAAGCCATGAAAGACAAAACCTCACAAAGATTAATATAGAAAGCTCACTCAGGTGGGAAACACACTGTATATATAGATATATATATATATATGTGTGTGTGTGTGTGTGTGTGTGTTTGTTTATACATCGGATCAACATCATGCCCCAAGGATGGTAGTCCATAAGTGCTCCTTTCTACTTCTAACTCAAGCATGTCTCCGAAAAATCTCAGCCTAGTGCACAAACTCAGTAGCACCGACGAGGATCCTGAAATACTTTGAGTAGATGTTTAACTCCAAATTTTGTCCAGGCAGCGCCGTTAGGCTATTCTTTTCAATTTCTAACTGCCAAGTGAATTTTATGTGCGCAACAGTACACATCCATGTCCGATCTTACTACCCAGAGGATCAGGGGAAATTACTAGAAGCCCACGCAAAAAAACTCCCAGCCTTCACATGGTATTGAACGTGGGACCTCCAGCACTCAAGGCGAACCACTCAGTAACCTCTCTCTCTCTCTCTCTCTATATATATATATATATATATATATATATATATGAGTATTAGAAATTAGAATATTGAAGGTCAGGACATTAAGAACTGAAGGGTAAACATCATCATCAGATGGTCAATGGTAGCACAGTGAATTCGGTCTCAGGCATGAGGTGAGGGTCACTGTGATGTTATTAGTAGTTCCTCTGTACCTCACGCTGGGCACCAGCAGGTTCTTTAGTGGGTTTACTGCCAGATGTACTTGTGTGCTGCAGATAATGGCTCATATAGGCCTCAACCAAGCTGGCAAGAATCTTGAAGTTAGTTGGCACCCCGTAGATGCAGTGTCCATGAACCCTCTGGCTATCATCAGCCCACCATGGGTGATAACATCTATTGAAAACTCATTTGGAACACAAGTGAAACCTGCTGGCTGAACTTCCAACTGTATGACAAGCTGTGATTAAAACATCTGTCGAGTGAAAGAACTACTGAACTGTTGACACTCACCCCTAGATGAGGAGATTTATTCAGAGCTCAGACGAACTACATCTCCTGTTAGTGACAAGTCCTACGGCATAATAGAAAAGTCTCAAATGTCCAACCACCAAAGTCCTACTATTTGAAGGAAAGGTTTAGATATCCATTACCACTGGCCCCACTTGTCAGAGTGTCAGGATCAACCATGGTAATGATGCCCAAAGTTTACATTGTTCATATTGTCATGCTGTTTCCAGATGAAACAACACTAAAGGTGTTCAACGTGTTAAAGAAGAAAGTGCCCATCTGTGTGGACATTAAAGTCCTACATCTGTGCTCTGCTCTCCAATCATCTCCATATGGTGCAGCCCATGAAGAGTGGGAAGCCCAACATACGGTTGTGAGGTTAAGCAGTCACGTGCAGGATGTGACGATTCTTTGGGTGAGCCCAGACCCACAGTGTCATGTGTCGGGTCTGCATTTATTGAAGCTTCCTTGGATGGCAAGGAATGCTCATGATCTGCCCCTGCCATCCCTTGAAGGCCAACCAGATGACATGCATTTGCCCAAGATAGGTTCTCCAGAGGGTAACACCTACAGATACAAGAATAGAGGGGACATCACAAAAATAAGGCCATATCATGCCCCACGAAATGAAAAAAGAAGGCTAACTCTGTAAATAAATACCTGCTGAAGTTGGATGTGTCGAGTGAAAGGTGCAAATTCAAATATGCAAAGATAGCAACTTTGCTCTAAACAGGCATAATTATGCAATTCCGTCTCTCAGACAAAAGAAAAAAGAAGACAGACAATGCTTGTTCAATGTAGTTCCAGACCACACAGACTAGTGATTAGAAAGAAGGAGAGAGGGGGAGAGGGAGAGAGAGAGGGGGGAGGAGATTCTCTCTAAAGTAGCAAATATTTATAAAATAATACAACTGAGCTGAAAGTAAAAATGTAGTTTTAATTTTTTCAACACATTTCATTACTTTGAAATAGTTAGTTTCAGTTTGATCAAAATCAATCGTCTGCGTTTCTTCTGGGGAGAGAGAGAGAGATCTCATTATTTTTATAAAAGTTTTTAAAGTAAATACAAGTTATCAAAATATACCTACTTGTATAGTGAAATCACCAACTAGAGAGGCACATAGAAGACGGAAACGATTGTTTCATTCGCAGTATTGGTGGATGATGGAAATTGCAAACAACAACAAACCCTGTCAGAGACTGGCTAACCGGCAATTGTGACACCGACAATACCAGGTGAAAGGCTAGGATTGATGTCAAATGTTAAAATCAAAGCTGCGTTCTCCCTTGGAAAA